ACCTGCGGGCCGAAGCCTGAGGAGCGGAGCTGCGTGTCCCAGGCGGGCCGGCCGGGCGCTGGGGAGCCAGGGCTCCCGTTTCCCGTGTCGCCGGGGCAGCGAAGGCGTGGTGCTGAGATCTGCTAGGGTTCTGAGTCCTTGGCACAAGGTGCCAGGTTGGTAGGAAAGGAGAGCGGTTTAGGAAAATAGCAGGTATCTTCCCACCCCCTTAGGAGATGAAGACAGGTGAAAGCACATCAAGCCGAGAGCTCCCCGTAGCAAAGGGGACCTGGACCGACTGAGAAAACGGCGCTTGTGTAGGACAACGGTCCGCTGGGAACCGCAAGTAAGGATCCCAGGTGATCGCTTTCTTTGAATAAATATTGTGGCGCATCAGAATAACGAAACTTCAAGAAATTGAACAGGGCTTAGGGAGCCCAGCCTCCAGAAGCCCAGTAATGAATTTTCAGAAATGTTTTGTCAACCATGGAGAATCGAAAAGGAATTTGATTTGTTATATGTATGCAATGCAGAAATTTTATTACTATAAGGAAAATGCCGACTTTTAATCGCCCCATTTGTAAATGGACTTTACTCTGAAAAAATCTGTTTCAATGTTAATGAAATTACGAAAGCCCAGTGTATGCTCTTACCCACTGTGGGCCTGGCAGGTAATAGCTGCTCCGCAGCCCTTGGTAAAACTGAAGGCAGAGGTATCTAGTAGCAAATGTTTCCATTAGTTATAATTATTCTGTCTACACCAGTTAGCTGTCCAGTAGCTGTTGGGGATGCAGGTATTTTGTATTGCCAAACCAAAAGAAAGCTGTAAGTTGATGCTGAATATTGAAGAAGCTGCTGCCGTATTGTGAAAAGCATTCTATTATTACTTTTTTAAATTCATAATTGCAATAATGCATTTATGTGGATCCATCAATAATCCTGCAGTAGTTTCCCTGCACCCAGCAAGAGCCTGAGAGGTCTCTAGGCTACATAGGTTAAAGGGAAGCATGGTGCTATCTGTAGCTGACTCTCAGCGACCTGCCCCTAGTGCCTGGATACTTGCCGTTTAGTACATGTGCATCTTCTTTCTGCAGTCACTTGGGACTGACTATGGGCTTTTTCTAGCCACAGGAGGTGCTTGATTCAAGAGTCAAGTTACAGCCCTGAGAACAGCTCTCACCCAATAATGGATGGAAGTTGATGGATAAACACCCCAGCTTCTCAAGCCAGAGATGGGAACCCCTGAGACATAGTCTAGTCTACACCATTAACTTCCCTACCAGGGTTGAACCCGTAGTCCCCACAGTTGCCCATAGTAGTAACCTGCACATTCATGCACTCTTCTTTTTTTAATTTTTTTAACTTGCTTTTTTTTAGAAACAGGAAGGGAGAGGGGAAGAGGGAGAAAAACGTGATTGATGCCTCCCAAAGACACCCCAACCAGGGACGGAGCCCCATAACCTGGGCATGTGCCCTGACCAGGAATTCAAACCCACTTCCCCTGCCAACTGAGCCACACTGGCCAGGGCCGTGCACTCTTAAGTGGTTTTCTGCCTTTCCTGCTTTATTTCCCTCTTTTCTACCAGTGCTTCCTGACATCACCTCCAAAATAAACCACTTCATTCAAATATTTGTGTCTGAGCTACCCCTTGAGGAACCAACATAAGGCAGTCTACAATGGCTTCTATTCTGATCTGGCGTCACTGGCACAGTAGTCTCAGAAGAGTGAGCAATCCCTGATTTATATAAAGGTGCCCTAGTTAGGAATTCAGTGCCATTCCTTAAGGTGGCTGTGCCCTTCTCGCTTCATTTCCTGTTAACCTGGGAGGCTTAGTGGAAAAGACAAAGAGAATATCAGCTATCCCACAGAAGTGTATGAAGCAGAGAGAGATCTCAAATTGGCGTGTCAATTGCACTTTCAATTAGAAGGCATACACTATTCAGTTATATAAGACGTTAGTTGACTAGTCTGTTGACCTAACTATTGTTAATTATCTGGTTTCTGTGGAGAGACTGTGTTACATAATACACATCTCCATCTGGCTGACCTTACCTCCCACTTTAAAATACTTTTCAAGGTTGTTTCACACCTATTATCTTCTGTATCTCCCAGAAAACTCATGGAATGCAATAGATACACAGCCACAAAGTGAATTCCTGTCTGCTGAACTCTCAGTCATTTCATCAAGAGCAAAAGCTCCAGCCTGGCTTTGTAACAACACTGATCATTTCACTCTGAGTTTTACTTAATTCATTATAGTTTAAAAACATCAAGGACGCAATTATCTTTACAGTTACAAAATCAACAAATTTAATTCATTGAATGTTTTATACAAACGGAATTTTTTGTTTGAAAAATAAAAGCATTTTCAAAGTTTATTTTTAAAAGAAAAGAATCACCCATACTCTTTCCACCCAGAAATAATCTCATTTTTGCACAAACCATTTTTTTACAAAAATGGAAATATACAGAATATATTTTAGTCTGCTTTTTTTCACTTAACAATAGATCAATAACATATGTCCAACTGGTTAACTTATTAAGCTCACGGACCCTGCAGCCAGTCTGGCTTCATCTTCCAAGCTCTGCTATTTAGCAGCCATGTGAGCTTGGGCAAATCACTTAGCTATCTGTGCCTTAGTGTCCTTATCTATTAAGGGGGTGCTGGGAGTAATAATGCACATATATTAGGGTTGTTGAGAGGATTAGGGACATATCAATATAAGTAAAGCTTTCAGTACAGTGCCTAGCACATAGTTAACATTTTAAGACTCTTAATTACCATTATTCTGCATACAATATAGCTCTAATTACTATGTAACATTCCAGTGTAAGAGTGTTTCACAGTGATTTAATTATATTCTTTTCTTAGACATACAGGTTTTGTGGGGAGCAGAATAACAGCCCCGCAAGCATGGCTTCACCATAATCCCAGGAACCTGTGAATATGGTACTCATATGGCAAAAGGGACTTTGAACATGTGATTAGGACTATGTGATTAAGGTGGAGAGAATAGCCCGGGTTATCCAGGTAGGCGCGATCTAATTACTTAAGTCTTTAAAAAGAGCAACTTTTCCAATTTAGAGGTGTGGAACAGAGGATAATGGAAGA